ACACACACACACACACACACACACAATCTCTGCTTGAGAAAAGACCATGAGCCACTTAGCCACTTATACCTAAGTACAGATTAAGTCGGTCTTTCCCTCTCAGAGGAACTTATCTTTAAAGTATCAGGTCTATTACTAAAATATTAGAGGTGAAGAGTCTATTGCACATCTCAAGGCATATCAGCTACTTCTCTGCTTGACTGTAGAGCAGGACCTGGTCCTGACAGAGGTCAGTTGAGCATGGTGGGACAGAGTGACAGGGAAGCTGGTGCTGGTCACCATCATAGGGCCATGGAGTCCGGCAGGAAGGAAGTTGTGTCCCATGGCTTATGAACTATGCATTTGTGGTAGTTACTTTTGTTGTCAAATTAGCTGAATTAAGGGACACTCAGCAGGGGAAGCATCACTGCTGTGTGTGTCTGGGAAGAGACTCCCACTTCAATCCGTAGGCTAAGTCAGGAAGGTCTGTGTTCACCAGTGTGGGTGGAGACCAGCCAATTGGTTACAGGCCTGGATAGGACTTTTGTTCCTTTTTAGGCAGAGGAAAGCAAAATGTGCTTTTTCTCTCTCTCTTCTGGAGCTGGGGCTCCCTTCTTCTCTGGCCTTCAAACTCCAGGGTTTGGCACCCACAGTTCCCTGTGTTCTCAGGCTTTCGACCTTGGACTAAATGTTCCTCCATCAACTTTCCTGGTACTAGATTTAAACTGAAGCTGGCTACTGACTTCCCTAGTTTGCCAGCTTGCAGATGACATTTTGTGGGGTTTCTCAGCCTCCATGATCATATGAACCAGTTCCCATAGTAAGTCCCCTCTTATCTCTCTATCCACCCACACCATCAGCTGTATCTCTCTGGAGAACTCTGCCTAATGCAACCTCTCTGTCTCTGTCTCTCTCTCTCTTTCTCTCTATCTATCTTTATCTATCTATCTATCTATTGGGTTGTAAATATCTTAAACTCCTAAAATCTAGCTTCAGTAGAATTTCTCCATTGGATAGGAAAACGAGGCCATTAACCCTTTAATAAGACTTATCAGGTGAGGTTGGAGTGAAGAGGCTCAAAACCTTGGATCTACAACTGCTCAGTGACTTGAGTCTGCCCTTAGAACCACAGCAGGCCTTGGGAGCCAAGGAAGGCAGAGGGGAAAGAAATAAAGTCCACTAAGTGATAAGGTTATATAAAGAAAAATAGAAGGGAAAAACATTGCCTAATCCAAAAAGAACACACTTACATTGTGATTTCATGTAATATATTTCCTGATCCCCAAAGAGCATTCCCTGCCTTCCCATGCTATCTGATACCAGGCAGGGCTAAATCCCTGAGCCCTGGTCAGAACAGCTCTCAGAGAAACATCTGTATGGATTTGCTAGCTTTCCTTAACAGAGGGCCAGCTCAAGGCCTCTGGGGCTTTGTGCAGCTCAGTTGCTGACAGGTTTTGCATGGAAAGGCAAGCAGGTTCTCCTTCCGTAACAGATGGGCTCTGTTCTTCCAGATCCCGGCTGCAGAGTGTTGTGTGAGGGTGACATCAATTCAGGCAAAGAGCAAAGGGCTTGAGTGCTAAACCTTAAACTAGACTCTGCCCTGGAGAGAGAATCCACAAAGCAAGGGCCTGGCCCACTCTAGGAAAGTGGCCCAGGCAGTTCTTTCGGTAGAAAGTGGCTAGGTGTGGGGAGAGGGGAGTTGAGTGAGGCCAACCCTGCTTTCTGGATCACTTGAATCAAGAAGTAAATTCTGCTCAACAGAAATGGTGAAATAAACCAAACAAAACTTTCTCAGGAACTGAGAATTTGCATTGTATCCAGAAAAAAAGTACTGATCAGGCCCAGGTTCCACCTCAAACACCAACATGTTATTTTCCCTTCTCATACAATGTGCTGCTCCTGCCTGCATGGAAGGGTTTGGTCCTTCGGGGCTACACATACACTCAGAAGCTTCTTTCTGCTGGCCTGACTCCCCCAATATCCAGGGCAAGCTGGCCACAAAGCACCTTGCCTTTCAATGTCCAGTAATATGAGTGTTACCATGGGTAATGGGATCCTGGATGGGTTCCTACATTCTTGTGTGCAATGAATAAAAAATTGGATGTGATGGTAAGGAAAAAGCAGCAAAGTTTAACCAAGTGAAAGTACACTCAGATTAAGCAGGCTCATAATTGTGGAAAGGAAAGTGGTGTGAATGCTGAGGATATTAGGTTTAGGGATTTAAAATGTTGCTGGGTCTAGAGTACCTCTCATTGGCACATGACTGAAAACATGACCGACAGGGTGCTGAGTCACGTCAACTATCTACTTTGCATGTCCTTTCCCATAATTCACTCTTGTGATCAGATGTATGAGATGCAGTCCACATGGATGAGCCTTCAGTGAACTCCAGGTGAAGAATGGTTACTGCAGGTCATTCCAGAGGACTTGGTGAAAATACATCCTGGTTTGGAATTTTGGAATTTTCCAGAGCAGGCTCAGGGGTCTTTGTCTTCCTTATCACTGCCTCCAGGTAATAAATCTTGGGACAAAGGATGGGGGGTTGGCCCTAGGGCTTTCCTCAGGCTCAGGTGGGTTGAGGGGAGTGGTCCAGCAATGAGTGGATGGGAGTGGATGGTAGCCCTTTTTTTTGCATGGACCTGCCCCGAGTACAGCTTCCTGTGACTTTCAAGAACTGTAGCTGCTTGCTACTTACTACTGTGTGTATACTTGTCAATTCTTGCCTCATTGTACACAAGGACCTGCGGTATCACTGGCCCATTCCACTGTAACTGGTATTTTTCAGAGAAGCACTATCTTTTCAGCATGGGACCCTCAGCCCCTAAGCACTTGATCCTGACCACTCTGTCTCAAAAGAGAGGCTCAGCAAGTTTCTCCCCTTGGCCTGATACCATCTTCCCCTAGGGCAGTGAGTGAGTAGGTGTGACCTTCAGAGGGCCTAGATGTTTGCCATCTTGTCCTAAGTTTGCCTGGATAGGACTTAGCCACACATGCTTTGGAAAAAAAGTGAGTGAGCCAGTGGAAGGAGTTGGAGTGAGTTAGCTGAGAACTTGTCTGGAGTGGTTTGTCCTGGCTCTCGAGCCTCCACATCCTGCAGCTCCTCTTCCCTTTTTTTCCTCCTATTTTCATCACGGAAGAAAACAAAAACAAAAAATTTGGCCATATTTATACCACATACAAATCACATTTTAAGAAATAATTCTGGATCATGTGACTGGCAGACAAGCAATAACAAGGAAATGCCAATTAGGCACTAAGAGTACAGTGTAGATGTGTGTATGAGGTGTTTTGGTGAAGGTCATTTCATACATTTCTCTGTCTCTACCTATCTTAAGATTTTCAGGGAGAGAGAGAGAGAGAGAGAGGTGATTGAACTAAGGACATTATTTTTAAATGACAATTTTTAAAATGGAGAATCTAATTTTCTGGAAATCATATTGGTTAGACTTTAAAGGAAGGATTTATGTCCATATGAATTGTGCAGAAAGGAATTTTAGTAACAGAGAGGCAATGTGAGACAATGTAGGTTGAGATCATAATTCAGAGCCGAAAGGGCTTTCCAGGGGGGATTAGCATGCACTGTAAACCCTCCCTGTCACAAGAAAGCGTGTCTGTGTACTGGATTTCTCTGGCAAATACACTTACAGGCATTTCATCACACAGTTAATAAATAACCAATTGCTTGCCCTTCTGCTGAGAGCAGTAGGGACCTGAACTGCTATGTAACCACACCTTGCTGCAATCTGCTGGTACCGAGCCAGGCTTCTGAACTTCATCCTCGATGCTAGTGATGCTGGATCATTTATTGTTTGGGTAGGGGCAGAGGGGCTGTCCTAGGCAGCATTCCTAACCTCTACCCCCAAGAAGCCACCACTGACTCTCTCTTAGTGGTTACAAGTAAAACTGTTTCCAGGCATTGCCCAGTGTACCCTGGGAACAACCCTCCTTCCTGCTATGTTGAGAACCACTGATATAGAGGAATAGGTACTGGCCACTTAGGTCCTATGCTCAGCTTCACTTGTCAGCTGCTGATCAAATCAAAGACAGTCATTTGTTTTGGTAAAAAAAGAAAAAGGATTTATTCAAAGCTAGATCCAGGAAGATGGAGGAGCCCATTTACCTCCAGCCACCATCGAACGAGGTGCAGGTAGATCTCTTATAAAAGGCAGGAACAGTGGGGGTGATACAGACAATGGATAGCTCAAGTTTTTCCATCCCTTTTGGACCCAACCTCTCCTCCCTTCCTGTGGAAATGAAACTGGCTGCCTGTGTCTGTGTATTCTATCCATTCATCTAGACTGAGAAAAGGTGGGAAGTGGAATCCTTTCTTGCTTTATGCCTGTGGAAGTTTGGAGAAGCCACTTGTCTCTAAAGGAAAAATCTAACTTTCAAAGTTCCATTTTGCTGTTACAGAACGACATCTTTTTTCTCTAATGCTTCCTCACAATGAAGTTAGCTCTTCAGGGAGTTGCAGAGAGGCACAGTGTCGTGCCCAATGATGCTAATCCTTAGCTGGTGAATGAGAGTGGTTAATGACTGTCCTGGTTAATGACTCTATCCTGGACAGGAGGGGGGAGGCCACTGTGGCAGCAGTCAGTTCCACTCCCACCCCCTGCACCTGGATTTCCCATGAACAGCCTTAATTAAGTGCTGAGTGGGCCAGATCCTGCTGAGGCTGAGAAAATATGAATTCTGGCCTCAAAACATTAAAACAACTCTTTGGCAACAGGCAGTGGCTAGAACAGAAATGAATAATGACACTGCCTCTCTTACTTGGTAGCAAGGAAAGCTCAGTGTGTGGAGGCAGAGAGATAGGGTGAATTGGGGTAGGAATGTTGTCTGTATGCAAAACGCTTCACAAACATATGACAGTTCTCCCAAGAACAAGGTGGAACTTTAAAACCAACCAACAGAGGCTCCCTTTGGCTCTATACGTAACGGATGCTTGCTCTGTATAATTTGCAAGAAAAAAAAATGTTTCTGTGGTCAGTAACATCTGAATGCTGTTGGATGAGGTAAACTTAGTGTTGCCATGGAGACATGTTTTCTAGCAGTGCCTGCATCACAAAACTGCAGAGTTATTTCTCATCTGCAGCTGAATGCCTAGATACAGAGGAGAGTCATGTCCATAGCAGGGCACACCCCTGAAGGGGACACAGCTATTGCAACAAGGATATTCCCCAAGGCCTTTCCATGAACAGTTCTCAAAGGTCCATTTGGACCTAAGAAGATGCATGTACAGACAGTGCCAACTTGTGAACATGCAGCAAAGGTGAGACAGAAATGGTGGAGCATAGACATGCATGAAAACAAGCTTGCAAGTCTCCTCCCACTGCCCCTCCGATCCAAGGAGGCATCTGCTTCGAACAGTTTCTTTGAAGTAGACGCCGGGCTCCATGCATGGCCATGCCTTCTGGGACCACAAAAGAGGAGACATTTCTGCGGCTACAAATAGACTCGAAAATACTTTTGAGGGTAATATTTGGCTGCATCCATGGAGTCTGAATTCTGCTGGATTAGTTTTGTAAAGCAGTCGGGCCATGGTACAAAGCCCATAAATATCACGCAGATTATGACAGGACGCACGTTGTTTCTCCCATGGAGTGGTGTCTAGGGTGACCCTGCAACCTACACATGCTCAGGTGAAACTCAGGCTGCCACTCGCTTGGTTTTCTCTCTGAGAATGCACTTATGTCCAGGAAAGGATGGAATCAGCCTTTGACAAGCGATGTTCTGGGTTGATAGGTCTGTTTCCAATAAGTGGTTTTATAGTCTGTCGGTGGGTTGACTGCATAGTTATAAAAGTTGATCTCATAAAAGGGAAACATGAGTGGTTGACACATCACATTGTATCTATGTCATTCTGTGCTCTGGCAGCTGGACTGGCTCTTATTTATAGCAAAGGAGGTGACATAAAAGCAGAATAATCGGATTTTAATTATAATGGGGATTTTTTTCACCCCATGGGGCTCCGAAGGGCTAGGACTATTGTGTGACTCTCGTTTCCAGGGAAATATATTTTCCTATGCCACTGCGGAGACACACTTGGTAAATGCTCCCAAAGGAAACACTGCAGAGGAGAGTGGCTCTGGGTTTCTTTAAAGTGGAATGAGAACTGATAAAATAGTTGAAAGAAATGGTGACTGAAAAAATAAATAGACTTCAAACTAACATTTTTAAGGACTTAAGACTTCACTAAAGTGTAGGATTTGTTTGAAAATATGGCAGATTCTGTTTTCACATGATGGTTTGTCTAAGTGCTAAGAGAGGTGGAGAAAAAAATAGCTCATTTTAACACTAAGCTCTCAGGCTAGGAATGCGGCTCAGTGATAGAACACTTGCATGATATATGCAAGGCCTTGGCTTCCCTCCCCAGTGCTACAAATAAAATAGTAAGTTTAAAAGAAAGAGAATAACCCTCTCTCATGAAGATCCAACCCCATTTGGGGTTCTATTCCACTTTGCTACCTGGTCAAAATATCCTATCCTTGTCCAACCTTTCTCTTTCCATCTTGAAAAGATGCAAAAGAGAGAGAATAATCACCCACCATCTTATTTAGGGTACAGAACCATCTCCATCACCTAATGCAGGGACAGAACCATTCAAAACCTAAGAATGAGCTGGGTGTGGTGGCGCACACCTGTAATCCCAGCACTCAGGAAGCTGAGGCAAGAGGATCGTTGCGAGTTTGAGATAAGCCTGGGCTACAAAGGGAGCTCAAGGTCACCATTTGTAAATGTCCATGTGGATGGGAAAGTGTTCAGGATCTGAGGCTGTCTGAGGGACCTATCTGTGTTTCTCTTTCTTCACCTGCTCCTTCTCCTCTCCCTTCTAGCTCTCACATGGCTGATATGAATATGTCTTCAGATGCCCTCCCTAACTGAACTCAATGTGACCTCTGCAGCCCATGCCTCAGTCTCCCTGATTTCACATCCCCAGCCTAGCACTGTTCCAACTCACCTTCTCAGGACTGGCCACGGTAGGTAGGTGACAATCTGTAGATTGGCTGTTGTAGAGCCTTTGATGTCACTCTACCAAGTTAGTGGTGGGAGTACTGCAGACACTAGAGTGACGTCTTTGCAAGGCAGGCAAGGACCATGGAAGGCCTCCATATAGGCTCTGCCCTGGACAAGGTATAGATTCCAAGGCCACGTCCCAATGACCAATTCCCTTCAACTAGCCCCACTTCCAAAATTTTCATCATCTTCCAATAATGCTGTCAGATTATCGTCTCATCACTGGCTGAATCCACCAGTGAAGTCAGAATCCCCAAGATTCAATCACTTTTCTAAAGCCTCATCTGTGAACACCTGAGACTTCTGGGGGAAAATTCTAGATCTAAACAACAATGGAAACCTTCCAAGATCTTTATGATGTCACCTCATCCCCTTCATAGCTCAGTACCAATGCACTTCTCCAAACTTTGTCTATTCCAAATGAAGGTAAAAGGGGTCCTGGGGCCCCCCTTGCTCTTCTACCTCTGTGGGTTTTTTCCATATATACTAGGAATCTGTTGTTACTACAGCCTCAGCCATCTTTCGAGGTACATCCTTTCTCTCAAGCTTTGTCTGATCCTGACTGAATGAAAACTAAAAGCTAAAGTCTACCTCTGCGTTCTTCTAATGCCTCAGAGGCCTTGGTACAATGTGAAATTGCTGCTCCTCCCACCAAAAGGCAGAATCTATTTCTCCACCCCTTGAACATTGGGTTTGACTGTGTGGCTTCTTCTGGCCAATGAATGCTAATACATGTGACACAGACCCCCATATTTTGTAGGAATCTTCTGCTAGGTGGATGACAATAGACTATATCCTAGAGAATAAGAGGTCATTTACATCTGTCCTGGCCATCTAGAATGCAAGAGGGAGGCCATCCTAGATCATCTAGTCCTACTGAGCCAACCCCAATGGGAATAATAAGTGGGCACTTTTTAAGCCATTAAGTTCTGAGGTGTTTCATAACACAACGAAAATGAATTAATACATTACCCTTTCCTGTTCCTCCATGTTAAAATGTCTTTCCTTCTTTGAGTCTCCATAGTATTATTGGTACCTTTCATTAATCATCTGTCACTGTCAACATTCTCTTCAATTATTTGTGGAAATACTTAATATCTATGGGAGAATAAATCAGCTGAGGGCTGAGTTCATGCTGGACTCGTGTTTTGTGTTTCTCCCAATCTACTTCCACAGCATCCCATTGAACACTCGCATCATCCATGCCTCCTGGTTTCTACAGAGGATATTCCCCAAGGCCTTTCCATGAACTGGGGACTAAGAAGCAACATGGAACAATGATCTAGAGTACAGATTTTGGAATTTGGGGTTAAAATGTCATTTCTATTGTGCACTAATTGTGTCCTCCTGGGAAAATTATGAAGCTATTTTATTTTGCCTCCGTTTTCTCACCTATGAAAGAGGTCACAGTAGTGCAGCCTACATCATGGACTTGTAACAAGGGCTGCATGAGTTGATGTAAGTAGTTTGTTAAATGCAAGTAAGTGAGAAGCACCCAATCCTGCCTCCAGCTGCTGCCCGCCTGGGCCTCTTTCACGGCCATCTCTACTCTCCACTCTCACTAAACTCGACTCTGTGCTGCATTACCAAGTAAAAACAGCCAACCAGTCTGATAATAAACCATAACAAGACATGGTTAGGTCTTTCAGGCATCCTTCTCCTACTTCAGAATGAGGGGACTTCAGAAGGTAGCTTCCAGGAGACAACTGGTATAACGTGGCCTTTGGGGCCATTTGAGAGCACTTGCTCTATCACTACTTGAGCAACCTTGGGGTGCTTACGAATCCTCCATGAGTCACTGTAAGAGGGAGACAGCATTATCTGCCTATCAGGATAGGTGTGGCGCCTAATTGTGCATGCTCAGTAATAGAAAACTCTTGTCACTCCTCTATTTCCTCTCTCAGTTATTTCAGATACTTCATTTCTACTGCGATGGGCCTGGCTGCATGTTCTTGCCTGAAGGACACTGATAGTGGGGATATCTGCCAAAGGTGCCTTTATAAACCCAGCTAAATTTAGAACTGCCTGGAAATTCCTTCATCTCTTGTGAGTTCAGTTTTGTGATGGCCGTTGAGTTCTACATCCATATATGGTGGCCATTTACACAGGACTGCAGCACCTGACCGTACTTCCTCCATCCTGGGCTCCTCCGGCAGTGAACATCACAGGGAATAAGAGAGAGAGTGGTGATGGAGGACGGGGTTGTGGCAGACTCTTGATTTAGCCTTCTAAATAGCTTTCCAGGCTGCCCATCGTTACGGCTACCATCTTCATCCAACCTCCAATCATCTCTTACCTAAACAACTATATTTGCCACTCCTCAACTAGGGACATATGCAAAAAACAGGTCCTCCCAGGACTTCTGTGCCAGTCACGAACTGAGGGGTAGGCCCAGGAATCTGAAGTGAGGAAAGGCAGAGTGGGAGAAGAAAGGCCTCTTTGTACTCCAGGTCACTCCTATGGACAGCTAGCATCTGCTTGGGACCTTCGGAGGAGCATGAACACGCTGGTCCTGTTCATTGCCATCAGTTCCCATTCTCTGCTGGCTGAAGACTGCTCTGGGAAGTGCAAGTCTCCCTGCACATCCATCCTGTCCCCGTACAAGAGCCACAGAGCTGCCTGAAGCGGTGTGGTTGAAGGTGTGTGGTAAGAAGTGCTGGAGCCCCGAGGTGAGGTGAGGCTCATGTGCAAGCATCTACCATGACTATAGCCAACTCTGGGGGCTGAGCAGGCATAGGGCAGAATGTGGAGGGTTTCCATGAATCTACTCGCGTGCCCTCATCACCTTGGGCACCTTGATCTTCACACAGGAGAACAGCAATTGCTTCTTCAAAATGGGAAATGGATTTGTCACACCTACACATCCAACTGTCAGGATTTAAATGGGTTCTGTGGATGAAAATGTCACTCATGACCCAAGAAATCATAACCTATCTTTTGCCCGGCTCTGTGCTCCATTCCTGCCTCTCCCCTCCCACAGCATACCTTATCCTCTACGATGGGGTTGCCTTACCTGTTTGCCAGTTCAACAAAAGTATTGCACTTGCAATGACCACAGGACCTTTGCCCTTCTACCAGTAAATCCTTATTTTTCTCTCACCTCTTAGCTTCAGCATCACTTCCAGCCTCATCTCTAGGAGGGGCAAGGACCCTTTGTCAAGCCTCTTGGAGACCCATAGCTCCCATTAGGCACAAAGAACTGGTGAAAGCACTTGCATGGGGTTGAGGGAAGGAGACCACAGCTGGAGGACAAGACTGGGAGAAGGACTTGCTTCTCACTACACACACTCTGGGGTCTTTGGACATCAATACCATGTTCTTGTGTTGCCAGGTAAAAATAGCAGGCTATTGCAAATAAACTAATAAGACAGGTACAAAAGTCTGATGTAGTTAACTGGGCTTTCTGGTTACTGCATGTGTGGCCCGGCCTCCTTCAGGACTCCTGCCTTTCCCAGATCTTTCTGTTCTGCACTAAGCTGGCCTCTCCACCCCGCGGGGCATGTCTTCTCCTCCCAAAATGAGTTGTGTTGTGGCTTTCAAAGTGCCTGTGGCCCCCTTTACTCGCAAAGGGTGCCCGCCTCTGCTGATGGGCTTGAGGTGCTGAGAGCAGGCAGTACCACCTGGGGAGTCATCTGGGACGTGGCTCAGCTCACGGGAGCCTCTCAAGGAAGCAGGATTGGATGGAAAGTTTCAGCCACCTGATTTGAATGAGTCACCAAGCGAAGGCATCAATCTGGATTTTAAGCTCTCTGGTGACCCAGAAGAGAAGGGCCAGGGAAAGGCAAAGCTCCTGATTTGGAGAATTACATCCATGAGCATCTGAGTTTCATAAGCTCAGACAAGCTGCTGATTTGTAACTGTCCTTCCGAAAGACCCCGCCGTCTCCCAGTGTCCGGTCCATTTCCCCCTCCCTCCCTCCCTCTGGTTCCGTGCTGAGCATTGGTGCACTGCTCCCCGTTTATGTGTCTCTCTGTGGCTTAGTGTGCCTACTCCTCCTCCTTTTGTTCCCTTCCCCATTTCATCAGCTTTCTTCCCTTCTTTCTTTCCTCCACTCTCCGTAAGGCTCTTTCCTCCTGCCTTTTGGTCCATCTCTCTGAGTCTCAAACCCCTCCAGGTGTATTGGTCAGCTTTCCATTACTGCGCTGAAATAGCCGTGATAATCACTGGGAAAGGGAAAGTCACACTGGCTTGTGCTGCCGAAGTGAGCACTGGCTCATGGTTTCAGAGGCCTCGGTCCTTGGTTGTTTGGCCCTTTGCTGTGGGCCTGCATTCCAGGAGAGCAAGTGGCTGAGGAGGCTTCTTCACCTCATGGTGTCTGGGAAGGAAAAAAAAAAGGGAGGGGGGCCAGGACCCTGATATCCTCCGCAAGGGACTTCCCTGACTTCCCTCCACTAGGCTCTGCTCCTAAAGGGCCCACCACCTCCCAAGCTGAGGACTGTGCCCTAGTTAGCCAGCTCTCTCTCATTCTTTCTCTCTATCTCTCATCTCTCCTCTCTCCCTCCCTCCCTACCTTTTCTCTCTTTCTCGCACACCCCCCACTTCTACCACACTTCCATCCCTAAGAGGAGTTCTACAGAATAGCTTGGCTTCTGGAAGAAGGGGAAGCAGTCATCCCTTGTCCTCCGTGCTGTGCTGTCAGACACCGCCCAGCAGTGAGCCCGAGGCCCAGAACCGATGCCCGGGTCCCCTCCAGGCCTGGGGCGGGCGCAGCATCTCCTGCTCCCGCACCGGCTCCCACAGCGCTGCTCCACAGAGCACGTGACTGGAGGAGCCCTTCCCGGGTGAGGCAGAGTCCACTGCGCTTCCAGGTAGAAAAGCCACTGGTGGCTGAAGTTTACATGTCTTGGGCAGCAACAGCGCACAGAGGTCTTTTAGAGAAAGTCACCCACTATGAGTGGCAGTAGCAGAGCCAGTTGTTAATATTTTATTACTCTTTATCTCCAGAGGTGGGGTGGAGAAGGGAGTTACTTTCCATGTGCGAGATAAACTCAGTTCCGAGGCTTGCAGCGTTTTATGTAGCACTGGTTGCCAGAGTTCCTTTTTCTTCTTACTTTAGAGGGAAAAAATACAAAATGAAACTGCCACTGTACAGCATATGCTCCTGGGTGGGGAGTCTTTGAGCCATACTGGAGATCCTTGTGAGTATGGCCTCAGCCCGGGTACCTCCCCCCCCCCATGACAGGGAGTCCAGTCCATGTGCAGCAGGGACAACTTTGAGCTGATCCTCCCCAAATCAGTTCAGAGCCAAAGGATATTAGTTACTGTCCTGAAAGCGAAATCATCCACTGGTTCTTATCATTATTTGGTTTTCTTTGGAATTTGTGTCCTATGGGACATATTCTGGGTCTTTTATAAATGAAGCTTTGGGATGACACCTTGGGAGAATGGGGAAAGCTGGAAGAGGAAACGGGAAGAGGTCAGTGTGGGTGCGATGTGTGTGCGGGGAGGCACCAAACATGACTGAATGCAGGGATAAAGGGTGGAAGTGGGGTGATGAACACAGCTGCAAGTAGAATTTAACTTGGGATCTGGTGTGTTGGATTGATGGCTTCTGGGACGTGATCTGGGAATTTAGTATATGTGTAGCAATGTTTTTTAATCTTTAGATATATCTATCTCTACACTAGATCCCAGCTTGCCTTTCTTCTTTCTTTTCTTCATCAGGAATCTGTCTAAGCATGCGCTGCAGGCCAGCTAGTGGTTACACAACAGTGCACGAGCCTGCCACATCTCTCCTTTTGGAACTTCCGGTGTGGCAGCTGCCCTCTGATGTCAAGGAACCAGGGAATCATTCTACTCCTGGAATCTCATTCTGTCCCACAGGCCAATAGAATCTGAGGCCTCAACAGGCCAGCTGGAGAGGTGCTTATGCATCCACATAACTGTCGAGGGCCACAGTGGAGGGCCTGGAGGGCCTGTAGAGAAAGCAGAACAGAATAACTGTGGCCCTGCCAAAACCTGCCCTTAAAAGGGCAGCCAACGGCTCATGAAATTAGGTTGTTTGACAAACCAACAAATGTAGCCTGAAGAGGAGCAGACATGGGTGGGCAGGGCATGCCACAGACATCTGCAAAGGCCTAAAGCACGGGGAGAGGGGGTACATGTATTTATCATGGCTTCAGAGGACACACTTGGTGCTGGTTGGCAGCCGTAGGAAAATAAACTTGGGCTAACATGAAGAAAATTGATCTAAAAGATCAGAACTATTTAGCAATGCAGAACTGCCCTGCAAAGTAATGAGCTCCCTGTCCTAGTAATAGAGAAGCAGCACCTGTGGGAGAGACTGCTGTGATGCAGTGAAGGCGTACCTACTTGACTTCCAATGTCCTTTCTAATTTTATTATTCTGTGATTCTTTGAAACATGGAGCAACTTTATTTTTAAATCCATAGCCACTTATTTTTAGCTTGGAGGCTCATTTTGCATATGCTTTTTAATAGAGTGGGGGGTGGGTTCCAAAGCGCTTCCCTTCTTTGCTGCCTCTATAAAATCATTCTAGGGTAGGTTTTCATCCTAGAAGCGCTGGACTATGGGCTACAGGGAAATTGCTTGTGTTTCAGAGATCTTGGAAAGCCCACAGCCTTCTTGTCTCTGGATCATTGCTCATTTTTAGGAGATGTGCCTGAGGTCTTAATTCATTCTTATTTCCTTCTCTCAGTTTACAGAGGCAGGAATTACATGCCAGTGAGTGCATTGCAACCAGAATGGTATAACCCTTCATGTGGGAAAGATGCTTGCGTCTGAGGGGAAGCTCAAATTACTTCAGTCACATAGGGCTGCCCTTTTGGGTTTCTCTGGAGAAGCCCAAATGGCAGTTCTAGCAGCAGTGAGCCTGCAGTGTTGGCTCTCCTGCATCCTGCCATGTTTTCTGGAAGTCAGCTGAGCTTGTTTGTGGCCACTCTAGACCACAACCTCAGAGTGCCCCTGGGCTGTCTTGAATTAGCCATGGCCCATGAATCTGATCTTTGACTGTCCTGGGGAGCCGGAGGGAGGGTGGTTAGGTGAGAAACACTGTTAGCTCTAGCCTACTGTGGTTTAGGTGAGCTGCACCTCCAGGCTAGGGGCTGGGAGTGGGCCAGCTCCTCCTTGCCGACTACACACGGCTGCCACCTCCTGGAACTTGCTGTCACCCTTCTGTGAGCAGCTCCACAGAGCAGAGATCCTGCAAGGACAGGACCGGCAGGAGCAGCTGGGTGTCACTACTTTCTACTAGAAGGGTCAAGTCTGGGTGACTTAGGGGCTTGTGCCAGCTCAGCCTTGCGTTGGTACAAGGCAGGACAGACTTAAAACACTTACATGTATACAAAACAAGGCCCCAGTACAGGAAAGAGGGTATGCTTACCAGATCTTTGTACATTATATCCAGTGTTCCTAAAACAACTGAATTCTTTTCCAAGCAGTACTTTCTGTGTCTTGGAGCTGAAGTGCTACTGCAGTGTGCTCAGAAAGGTCTTGCCCCATGTCTCAGACATAGGCACCTACCTTGGCAAAAGAGAGATACCCAGAGACATGGGGTTTTTCTGAAGGCTCTAGACCCAAAAGGCAATAGTAGGAAGAGCAGGTCATCTTACCTAACTCCTGTCTCCAAAAGTGCAAACATATCAGTGTTCTTACAAGGAGAAAGATCAGCTGTTGGTCAACACCTGAGATGTGTCAACCAGCCCTAGATGGCAGGCACAAAGCATGCTCCAGAAGGAATCCTGTCCTGCTTGGGCCTTTGTTGTGTCTTTGTTACCTGGCATTGAGGTCCCTTTTAGTCCTGCATGCTGCAACTTGATTGGAACATTGACACTCAAGCTCTTGGTGCAATCCTGTTTGACTTTTCCCATTTATCACAGTCTGTCAATTCCCCCGGGGTCCCAGAGTGATTATATTCTAGACCAAATGCCAAGTGGTATTCTCCAAACCCAAGGGTGATGGGAGTCTCTAAAATGCCAAGGGACCTATTTTCAAGTGAGTGGTAGAGACCAAGAGTGATCTTGCTGCCTCTGCTGGGCCAGGTGGAGTCCAGCAGTGCAGCATGTCCCGAGCTCTGCTGTTTAGCTTGGTCCACATTCAGCTGGGTCCTAGCATCCAGGGAGTTAGCCCAGCTCAGCTGTGGCCTTTGGCCTCCACACAAAGTCTTTGTCATGAAGCTTGGCAAAGGACTGCTTGGCTCTTCCTGTTGCTGCAGGCAATGGTCAGGGGAGGAAGAGCTCTGCTGGCCTGACTGGAAAGATAAGTCAAGGCCTAGAAGGCATGATTTCAATAGCAGTGGGGTTTCTTGTGCTGGAAAGGCAGAGGGGCTTACATCATGGAGTACACTGATCAGAAGAAGCCCCAGATGCAGCATGGGGCTGAGGAGCGTAATTTAACATTGCCCCGCAGCTGAAGCTTCCTCAACTACTACAGCACTGAAGTTCAAAGACTCCAAGGTCCATGCTGAGGTTACTGAGTTCAGCTCTGGTAGGAGATGTGTCGAGGAGAAAGTTCTAGTCTTGGAGATGCTGTCTTCTCCAACACATGGACCACATTGTGTATTTATTTGCATTTTATCAGAAAACCCAGTGGGGTATGTTGCACAGTCCACACACTAGCACTGCCTTCAAAAGCAGGGAGTTCTTGCTCTGATTTTTTGTTTGTTTGTTTGTTTTGTTTTTGTTTTTGTTTTTCTCCAGTACCGGGAACCGAACTCATGACCTTGCGCTTGCCAGGCAGGCGCTTTTGCCTCTGAGCTAAATCCCCAGCCCTCTTGCTCTGATTTTTAGCTTTGTGACTTGGACAAGTTATATTCTTTCTGAGCAGCAATGTGCTCCTGTTCAGTGCAGGTAAATGGCACCTACCTCCTATTTGCTGCAAGGGTTAAGTGAGATGGTAAGTATAAGTCTGCCTGGCCCATGTGTTATTATTACAGGTATGCAGCAGGTAAAGCCTGAAGGAATCACTGACATGTGCATGGAATTATATTGTAGAATGGCTACATTCTTATTTTGAGACATTTTTTTCTAATGCCTCACTTTCCCCTATATTTGCCACCTGTTTTACATGCTGAGGAGCTGTAGAATTATTTAAGTCCTAGCATCAAGACAGCTGAAAAGAAACTAGCTCTGTTGAAAATCCTTCTACCTTGAGGCAGTAAGCTGGGGGCTGTCGCATTCTTCACACAAATTGACTGGGGGCCTGGGCAGTGAGCTCAGGGGCTGGAACCTGTAGTCCTTCGCAGTGCATGGAACTGCAGCTTCCAGGGCAGTGTGGCTGACACCACATGGGGCTCCTCCCTCTTGCAACCAGAGGCCAGCATGCATCCCACAGCCTGCTGGGGTCAGGACAGCCATTTAGGGACACAGACCAGAGTGCTGCTCACTTATCTCCTCAGAAATTTGTAATTTAGCTCTTGACCTTGCTGGCCCTCTGCCCTGGCCACCTGAGAAAGCTGACATAGGAAATCAGAGACTATGTCACAGGTCAGGTGTTCAAGTGAGGGGAGGAAGGACTTCCTGGCAGAAAAACCTATACTCAGCTTGGGCTCAAAGCAGCCACCAGCAAATGCAGACAGAGTGAACTGGCCCCTCTCACCCCTTCATCCCCTGTGCTGAGCTCATTCCTGGTGCAGGCGCTGGCCTCACAGCTCCTCTGCCAAGTCCCTTGGCTTCCCTCTGCTGCTGTGGAATCTGAGCGGGACCATCACTGGCCCAGCTGTTAGGAATCATGTTGAGGATGAAAACAATTAATCTGGGCAAAAAGCCTTCCCCGAACCCTGACCTCTCCTTTGCGCCCTCAGCCCGCTGTTCTCCTGATCTCATTTCTGGTCACCTCTTCTACCCATTCACCCAGAGATTGGCTGAGCACACTGGCTAGCAGTGCACTAGCTCCCAACTCACGGGCTCTTGTGGACTTGAAGACCCTGGGGTACCATGGAAAGGGAGCATTGGATCCCAGAAACAGCTCCCCCAGGAAGCTGGGCAATCTGTGCAACGGTGCCTAACAGTAAGCTCTCCTGCACTGTCCTCTCCCACTGTGGCTCTCTGTGAGAGGTGACAAATGTGGAAACTGAGGCATGCCCAAGGAGGGCTGTGAGCAGCTTGGTCACACACCCCAGGCTGCCTGAGACTTCCAATCCAAGGGGCTCAGTGCCACATGAGAAGCAATTCCTGGGGCAATGGGAGCCCTCTATGCAGGCAGGGCTGGCTGGAGGGGCCTGGAGAGCCCAGACTCCACTGAGGCGGCCAGGAGAATGGTGATGGCGTGATTCTTTTCCAATGCTCCATACCACTCCTGAGCTCCTCTGGGCTATGTCTATGTCCCCGCCCCTGGCTGTGGTCTTTAGTTCTTCACCCTATGTCCTTGGGGTCTAAGGCTGTGGCTGGCACACAGTGGCACTCAGCAAATTTGTTTTGTCTGACCAGTGATGGTGCCCACCTTCTGCCAACATCACTTGGGTGGAGGGGCTTCTGACTTCCAGAGTACCTTCTGCTCCAGCTCCAGAGTGGGGTTGCTGGGGCTCCGGACCTGGGCAGTGAGTGTAGGTCATTTCCCCCTGGCCAGTTCCCTGCCTCAGCTCCACATGCCACCCTGCTCTGGCCATCGCTTGCCACACCTGCCTTTCTCCTTCTGTTAAGGTGTTCATATTTCTTCTTCACCTGGATATTTGCTTTAAATATCAAAGCCAAGGCCTCACACTCTAAGGTGACTGACTTCAGGTACCCACAAGGGAGAGGAAGGTCAGTCTTGAGGAGAGGGTGACAGAGAGGACTTCAAGGAGCACAGAGGACACCTGGGAGACCCAGCTCAGTGGCCAGTACCCAGAACTCCCCTGGTCACTCCTGAGGCCCACACTGAGTGTGAAGGCTGATGACAGGAGTGCAGGGGAACTGTGAAAGTATCGAATTTTACCTCATAAATATGCACAATTATTACGTGTTAACCTAAACTTTAAAAATGTTTAGGGAGATGGAAATATTAAATATCCTGATTTGGTCATTACACATTGTATCCTGTAGCCCATAAATTGCACAATTAAAATAATAGTTAATAAATATTTTAAAAAGAAAGAAAGGCATTCCCGGGTGAATTTCTTCTCAGCATATCACCTTACCAAGGCAACAATTCCACCCTGAGAGTGACTGGTGCCCCGCCCACCTTTGCAGCTGCCTGGGTGTGGCTGGGGACAGGGAGGCTGGGCTGTTAGAACAGATGATTTCAATTTAAGGCAGCATTTGGAAGAATATTGTTCCACTTTCTCATTTTTCTTAGTCCTCTCCCACCCCTGAAACGTGATTCGATCAGTGGTGGATGAGAAAGGCCCGTTTCCATAACAGCTCCACTGTGAGAGAGAAAAATCAGAATACAAAGCAGCCTTGGATTTTATCTGGAAGAACCACTGGGTGAGTAAAGAGACAGAGGCCTAGCAAACACAGAGATCTCTGAAGCAGCCAGATGCCACCATTCATCCCAGGGTGGCACCTCAGACCCCACAGCAGACAAAGAGCAGGGGGCAACATGGGAGATACGTAGGCCCAGGGACACAAGCCTGCTCCTTTGCTGGTTTCCATTTAGGCAGCCAGATCTTGCAAGGTGGTAGGCCTGCTGGACTGTTTATTTTCATGACTGATGAAACCCAATCAGACTGATGCATCAGAATCTTTCCCGTTCTTGTGCAGTTTTTCTGTTTAGTTGAAAATGTCAAAGATTTTGTGCACCTTCATTTCCCCTCTGAAGTTTCCAAAGAGGAGTGTAGTCACTAGTTCATCTTCCAAAGCCAATGATCATGAGCCCAACTATCCAGATCAGTTGATAGGAAATTTGGCCTTGACATTATTCCCAGTCAAAGATTTCATCCAAAAGCAGGAGGTCTCTGGGAAACAGTAGGAGTTTCAGTTTAATCTCTATACCCATTTGAGTTGCTAAAGTTGAGTTTCTAAGGAAAAATTCTTGGCTGGACGTGATGTCCCAGCCTGTAGGCAGAGTTAGATGTTCAGGGATGGTGCTTGTGGGAGGCATGGTGTTTCTAGGAGGCATGCTGCCTGGAAGATCTCCAGGTCTGAGTTTGAGGATTTCCAGTAGAATGACCCTTACCATTTGCTGAGGTTCTCATCCTGCTGGTTTTCTTGGAGATCCATATACTAGCCTAGCTCTGGGCCAGGCCAGAGCTAAAGGGCCAGGGTTTGGAAAAATCCCCAATGTGATCTCCTCCTCCAAGAGTTTTGTTTGCCCTTTGCTCAGAACTCCACTGTGCCTTTTAAAGGAGACTGGATCCATATGTTTCTAATTCATTTACACTTAACTCATCAGAATGTTCCCTTTTTTGAAGAGTGATATGTTATCTTAAGATGCTTTTGCAGTCTTGTTTATAAGTGTCTCTTTTTCCCTTAGAAACAAGGGACTGTGTCTCATCGAGGCATGTGTTATAGGGTGGCAGTGAAGACTCCTTCTGATTTTGGGTTTGAATTCTGTTTTCGTTCACAAGAGGAAATGTGATGTTTCTACAGAGCTGCATGGCTTAAACATCATATCCCGTGAGCATAGGCTTAAAAAAATAAAAAGTAAGTCCATACAGATCTGACACTCATTGAATGTTGGGTATGTGAACACGAAGGTGCTAGATACTGTAGGTGATGGGGCAGTAATGAGGCATTGGAAAGATTATAGACACAGGATTAGTAGGAACAGCTAACTGTATGACTCCTTTTGCTAGCACAAAAGGAGGAAAAATGACCAGTTTAATCCAGGAAGCCTTGCTGGGCAGAAAGAGGAACATTTGACCTGAACTTTGGAATACAGCTTGGACTTCCAGATAGTAGTGGGAAAAGCTTGTAGACCAAGAGAACAACAACCTGAGCACAGTTCACGAGGTGGACATGTGCAGAGCATATTTTATGAACATCAAACAGACCAGTATGGCCACATCACAGAGTGTTAGGAAAGACCATAGTGAGAATTAGAGCCAGAAACATAAACTTGAGCTTGAAAGAATTAAAGCTTTATTCTGCATGCAATAGGGACTAATATTTTTGACCATGGAATGACTTTATTAGAATAATGATAAAAAATGATAGCTCGGGCTATAATGTAATTCAGCCTTTATTGAATACTTTCTATGTTCAGGCAGTTATTCTAATTCACTCACATGAATTAGTTCATTTCATTGTCATTTCAATCCATGAGGTAGAGACAATTTCAGCATATATTACAGAAGAGTAAAATGAAGAACAGATAGGGTAGGTGACCTGTTCAAGTCCAAACAATCTGCAATCAATAGAACTATAATTCAGATCTCAATTTGGATCCCATGACCTGTGTTCTTAACACTTAATGCTCTCATAGGAAAGAAGTAAGAAGCAAGCAGTTTAGTAGAAAGTTATTTCAGCATCCAGTAAGTTCTGAGGGTCAAAAGGAGCAGTAAGTACATAATAGACCTATGCACAGGATACAGTGAAGGCCCTGTCCCCCACTGGCTGTGGGGGTGGGAGATGGAAGCAGGGAGAAGGGAGGAGAGAAGTCTCTGCCTCTTAGGATTTGAACCACAAAAGGCAAAACAAGTTTCCTAGTGACAATGAAAAATTCAGTTTGAACATGTAGACCATGATATTTGTGTGACAATATTCTGCTAGGAATTGGAAGCATAGGCTGGGTAAAGTTTGGACCTATGGGTACTGAAACAAAATGGGAACCAGAGTAGGTCAGACCATCAGAAAACGCAAGGTCTCTTTGAAGCCCTGGAAAATAACCAATCATCCATTATCATTTTCTCTTTGATATTATTGAAGGTAAAAAATTTGGTGGTTAATTTGAGATAGTTCTTCTTTTTAAAATGTTTACAGTTATAAATTTCTCTCAGCACCACTTCTCTGTGTCCTGTGAGTATTAGTGTGCTATATTTTTGCTTGCATTTGTATCAGGGATTTTCTAATTTCTCCTGTGATTTCCTCTTTGACCCATTAGTTAAGAGTATATTGTTGAAATTCCACATATTTTTGTATTTCCATCTATTTGTGCATTTTGGGGTTCTTCTGCTATTGGTTTTTAGTTTTATTTAACTGTGGTTGGAAGATAGTTTGTATGATTTTGGCTGTTTTAAATTTATTAAGACTTGTTTTGTGGCCTAATATATGTCTATATTGGAGAATGTTCCACATACACTTGATAAATTGAGTATTGTGCTGTTGTTAGGTGGTGTGTTCTATATATGTCTTGTAGGTCCAATTGATTTGGAATGCTGTTCAGATACTCTATTTCCTTTATGATTTTCTGTTTGGTTGCTTTACCAATTATTTAAAACATAGTGCAGAAATCTACTAGACTGCAGAGCTGTTTCTTCAAGTCCATCAATGTTTGTTTTGTGTATTTTGGAGCTCTGGTATGTATATGTTTATATTTGTTGTATCTCCTGAATAGATTTACCCCTTTAGGAATATATAATGTCTTTTATCTCTTGTACAGTTTTTAAATTAAAATATATTTTGTTTAATATTAACATAATAACCTCAGCTCCTTCTGGTGACTATTTGCATGGCAATCTTTATTTAACCTTCCATTTGTTTTCAACCTATGTGTGCTTAGATTTAATGGGAGTTTCTGGTAGGCAGCATATAGTTGGATCATGCTTTTTGAAAGTTTCATAGTCTGATATTTTGTGATATCACCCTCCATTAGCATTTTTATGACTCTTTCAACTGCTAGGTGTCCTTAACATACCAACAAAAAGGCAGACAAGAGGATCAAAGGCTCTATGTGCATTTGTTGTAGCAGATGAGTTTCTGCCATGAGTAGTATCTATGTGGCTGCTCAGGAGCAACAAGTTATAAAGAATGAGTATATATAAACAAAGGCCTTGAAAAGGTCAATTCTACCAGTGTCAACCACTATTCTAAAACATCACATAAATCTGTCCTTGTATAATACTATCCCAGGCCTAGAGGCTATTTTACCATGGTTGGTTCCAATGCATGTCTTGTTCTGTGAAAACACTAATTGTTTGAGCTTGAGTTGCTCTGAAAGTAGAGACTGACACAGGGATACTTGGGCAGGTACTTTATTTGTGAGATGATTGCAAGTTACAGAAATGAATGATGAGAGAAAGCAAGAAGAATACACTGATGTAAGAATGTTGCAATGATGCTGCTACTGTGGACCTTGGAAGCTTGATTCTGCTGGACTTCTTGAGATGTGTACATAATCATCAAACCCTAAGAATTGCTAGTGGAAAGGATAGGAAGCCAGAGGACTGATTGGTTGTGAAAGTTTCCCTTGGAGGGCATTAATTAGTCTCTGGCCCTTTGTCTTGGTTACTTTTCTCTCCTTGCTGAGACAAAATACCCAACGTCCAAAATGAAGGAAGGAAAGGTTTATTTAGCTTACAGTTTGTGGAGGTTTCAGTCTACACTTGGCTGGCTCCGAGGCAGAAGGTAGCAAAGCAACAAGAGCAAAGGGGGGAATGGCAGCCGAACAGAATGCAGCCAGAGCAAAAGGGAGGAATGGCGGCAAGCAACTTTTTTCCCTGCCTTACATTGTAAACAGGCTACCCCCACCTAAGGGGCGTGTAGCTCTCACATAATCTCCATGCCTTCCTGTTCCACAGGCTCAGGATGTATACAAAGTAAGCACCTTGGCTTCCTGCTGAGTCACTTAGCCAAACCTCTAGACTCCCCAAGTTGACACAATGTATCAACCATAACACCCTTTAAACTGCATATGTTCTTGGGCATAGTGTGTTATTGTCTACCAGTGACGTATTATACTGCAGATGAGGTGGTGGTACCCTCTGTTATTGGTCAAAGTTATGTATAACCTGGCTATAATGATGCTCTATGGTAGGCTGGGATGCTGATGTATGTTGGATGAGGTCAAAGCTATTCACAGCATGACAGTCATTGTACATCCACATAAATATGGATGTGGTGTTCTAACAACCAGAACTCCATAGTATAAATGAAGAATCTCACTTCTTTTCTTCCTTTTTCTCTTCTCTGCCTTTCCTTGTCAAATTTCATCCATTTAAAAGATCTCAGCCCTATCATAATAATGTGGAAGTGAGTCCCATGTTTTCCAAGTGACTATCATTATAAAAAGGAGCCACTTGTTTCCCTAATTTATCAATCCCAGAGAAAAAATTTTAGTGTATTCTCTGACTTTTCATGGTAACTCTCTGTACGTTGAAAAATCAAGGAACCAAGGGGTCCCCAAAGCTATGCGTTTTCTAGAGAACTGCAGTGGTTTGCATTAGCTTCTCTATGAGGCTGCTGTACAAAGGAGGTGCCCAGCAGCTCTGCACATGACATGTAGCCATTTGCTGACTCTTTTCCCTGGGGATTTCTTTTGGCTGAACAGCAAGCTCTCTGGGCTGTGCAACTAGAGAACATCTCTAACATAACATAAACGTTGGGCAGCTGCTGGGATCTGGAGATGGCTCAGCATGAACAGCTGTGTGAGGTTTTTGACCTTGGAGAAAAGCAATACCAAATCCCACTGCCATGGGCTGGTTTCGGTTTGGACTTAGTGCAAATGAGGCTTAATGATAATTAAGCAGATACACGTGGAGGGGAAGGATATTAAAAATGCATTTCTTTTGAGATAAAGAAGGGGTAACAGAAAGAAATTTCATGCTGACAGCAGAGAAAACTTTTTCTAGTACTGTGAGAGATACAAATGATTATGCATTGTTAGCTTTATGAGACAAAGAACTATCACTTTTACTTACTGTGGTTCTGTACTGCTTATACACATTTGTTACCACAAACATCTCCTTTTCTGTCCACCCTCACAGAACACACAAGGATCCTGTGGCTATGAGAAAGGAATTGAGAGGAAGGATGTATTATTAAAACAACCGTGGACACTGGATAGAGTAGGAGATGACTGATCAAGTGGGATGTTAGTGGTCAACATCTCCACTAAGCAGACCTGGTAAGGTTGGAAGACTTCATATATCTTGGGAGAAGATCTTTTGTAAGATCACTTGGGAGAATAAACTTTTGTAAAAATCACTTGAAGTTTCCTAAAAACTGCTTATATCACTAGAATAAAAGGACCAACAACAACAAAAACAGAGAACTATGTGAAAACATTAATCATAGAAAGTTGGAAAGGCAAAGACATTTGTGGCTGTGGAAAACTGGAAATAAATTTTGGTTGCCTTCCTTAAGCAATGCCAGCTGTGGGTCTGCTCTCTCAAAGCAAGACAGAGTATACAAGAAGAAAGGGGAGAAAAGGTTCCCCCAAAAAGCTCAAATATGTTCGGATGAAGGCACTTATATTCTATTAGTTTCCTGTTCCTCAAATCACTACTGTAGTGTGGGGCTTATAGAATGACATCGAAAATGCTTGTTCAACTACATATTTCAATGACTCATAGTCTACTAGAGTCAAACAAATTGAAATTATGTCCACTTTTCTTATTGAATTTGAATTCTGTGATTTTCCTAAGCTTTCTTATTGTGTTTAAAAATAGTTTCTAAGAGAATTAATCCCCAAAGCTTTGAACAATGAGGTATATGCTCTATAGTATAGATAAGTGCTACAAAACCTGAGCTTTGGTGTCAGATCTGAGATTCTAGCTTCACTGTTTACCAGTTGGTGAGTTTGGGAAACTGTTTAGCCTATTTACTTATTTTTTATTTATTTATTTACCTTTTTGAGACAGGGTCTCATCATGTAGTTCAGGCTGGTCTTGAACTCACTTTGTAACCCAGGCTGGCCTCACACTCACAATGATCCTCCTGTCTCAGCCTCCCAAGTGCTGGCATTACAGGCATGCGCTACCATACCCAACTGTTTAGCCTCTTTAAATCTTAGTTTCTTCAACTATAAAATGTGAGGACCAATGGAATTTGGGAGATTAAATGAGATAGTACCCAAAGAATATTTAGTACAGTTTGTACAGGGAAAGCAACTGATATCAGTTGTAGTTGGTCATAAATGACTTCCTCCTCTTCTTCTTGTTCTTCCTCTTCCTCCTTCTCTTCTTCTTCCTCTTCTTCCTCTTCTCCTCCTCTTCCTCTTTTTCCTTCCCTCCTCCATCACAGAGATAGAGACACTATGGCCCACTGCTAGATTTTTATAAATAAAGTTTTATTGGAACACAGCCCATTCATTTGTTTATGTATTTTCCATGGTAGTTTTTGTACTACAGGATAAAGTTGAGTAGTTTTAACAGAGACTATATGGGTCCTAAAGCCTAAAATATTTACTACCTCATTCAGGTTTGGTAGCACTAACCTATACCATAAAGCATGCACATCACTGTTCAAAGCTTTGGGGGTAAATTCTCTTAGAAACTATTTTTAAACACCATAGGAAAGTTTAGTAAAATTACAGAATTCATATTCAATAAGAAAAGTGGACATAATTTAAAACTTTGCTGATATCTGACCTAGAATTTATAAAAAATATCTAGGGAAGAATTTGTACTTTTCTTGAATTTAAATTACCAGAAAATCATAGCTTTGACAGAAAGAAACTAGATAGAGAGTTTAGATGAAATTTTAAATAATGGAATGTCATGTTTTCCTCATAGGCTTTTAAAACACACCTAGAAGCAGAGATGAACAAATGTGCAGAAAGGGGTCATTATTAAACCCATTACTTAGAGAAAGGGCAATGGGGACTTTTTTGACTCAATAGAAAAGACACAGGAGCAAGTAGAGAAAGCCTAAAGAGTTAGGGAATAATTACTCACCAAAACTTTTATTGTGACTTAAGTATTTTATTAAAATAGAAATTTATGTTTCTAAATCTGGGGACATAACCTGGAGAACCACACAAAACATTTATAACAGGAAAGTAGTTGCATGGAGTAACAGATATGGTACTTCTTACAGTGAATTTTTCTTTAAATGTAAAAGTTGGTGGGAATGGTGGTGATGATTGTAATCCCGGATGTTGGGGAAGCTGAGGCTGGAGGATGACAAGTTTGAACTCAGCTTGGGCAACATAGTGACTTACTGAGATTTTTGTCTCAAAATAAAAAATAAAAGGGCTATGAATATAGCCCAGTGTGAAGGTCCTGGGATCAGTCCCCAGTATGACAGAAAGAACAAAGCAAAGCAAAGCAAAGCAAAGCAAAGCAAAGCAAAGCAAAGCAAAGCAAAGCAAAGCAAAGCAAAGCAAAGCAAAGCAAAGCAAAACAACAAAACAAAAACCTCAGAGTTAACATAGGCAAGTACAGAGTACAGTAGAATTATTAGTCTATAATTCTAAATTATCTTTTTAGGCTTGTAGCACAGAATATAACCATAAAACTCACTTAGAAAAAAGGAGAGACTAAAGTTGATAACAGCAAACTGGAAAGAAAAATAGAGATATCCTATTACTCTAGGAGGTTGAGACAGGAGGATGCCAAGTTCAAGCCCAGCCTGGGCAACCTAGTGAGACCCTATTGCAAAATAAAGAATACAAAAAGGGCTGGGGATGTAACTCAGTGTGAAAGTTCTAGGTTCAAACCCAATATTGGGAAAAGAAAAAGCAGTCAAACAACAAGAACAACAACAAAAACCCCAATACTTTAAAGGTTAGATAAAAACTGGCTTGGGCAGCTCATCTGGAAGGGACAAATAAGATTTGCCCTTGGGAAAGGACTGGTAAGGCTTAAAAGGAGAGGAAGAACCAGGAGGGACCACAGGACAAAGAGCCCAGCACCACTGTGTTCAGCTGCATCTGTAGGGGCTGGGGATTTAGCTCAGCGGCACAGAGCCTGCCTGGCAAGCACAAGGTCGTGAGTTCAATTCCCTGTACCCGAAAAAACAAAACAAAACAAAACAGCTGCATCTGTAAACACCACTCTCACTCTGAGAAGTTACACAAGAACCAAGCCCAGATCTCACTGCCGTGAGTGACACACAGGTCTCCAGGTCCCAGGGGTGGTGCTACCTGACCTTGTTTCCACGGGGAATGATGGCTGGCCAGCGGTACCCTGAAACTTTGCTTATCTCTTTTCAAGCTACCCCACCTAATATCACTTTCAAGGGTTGAGGAATCAGGAATCTTTCAAGGGTCTATGCATCAACCTAGAGTGGGTGCAGGGCAGTCAGGGTTGAAATGGTGCAGAAAGAACAGTTTCCACTGTCTCTCTGTGGGCGGGGGAAGAGTGCAAGGCAGACATTAGCTCTGGGTCTTCCCGAAACTAAGCCTGCAGTGGGGCTGAAAATCAGCACAGCTTTCAGTCCTCGCCACCTCCCCACCCTCATGCGGCAGTGTGTGGGGACAGCCGCTCAGCAGGACCCATCTGCTTTTGTTCCTAACTCCTAAATGAGCAACTAAAAACTAATGCCAAAATCCCCTCCCCCAGCTTTTGCTTTCCCAGAAATACAGTTCTTGCTGTTTTGTACATTTGAAGGTAAAAAATGTAAACATTTCAATAATAATATATTTTTAAAGGCACAAGGGGGCTAGGTAAGTAAAACAACCCACCTCACATCATCTACAGAAGAAATCTAATAAGTTTTGGGGTTCACTGGGGAGCCAGAGTATATTCCATTTTATGAGAGGATTAAATTTTTACTGAATTACATCTTTATTCAAGGTACTGCTTGTGTTTATCTACTGAAAAATTTAACTCTGATTTTTGGGCTAGTGAAAGACAAGCCATGATTTAAAAATCTTTTGATGAATCAGTTCCTTTAACCATGACTCTCAGGGCTTGAAGGCCGCCAGGCAGAGGCTACCCTTTGGAGACAAGGTTGGTGGCAGCTTCTGACCTCAACTCCCAGTAACCAAGTCAAGTGTGCTCAGTGACCTCAACTGGCCCACGGGCAGGGGCATGAATGTCACAGGAGTCACAGCAAAACCAGGTTTGATATAGCTGTGCCACTAATACTTGAGGCTTCCAAACCTCTCTGGACTTTAATTTTATCATCTATAAAAACAAAGGTATAAGACTATTGCTGATTGTAATATACTGATCTGCTGTCAAGCTAGTGACTCAAATTCCCCCAGGGATGTTGTTAAAAGTGCACATTTCCTAGCCTAAATCTGGGATCAACATAACTGTCATGTCCATCGGAAGAGAACAGGTTAAATAAGTTATGGAACATCCAGCCATAAGTGCCCTTTAAGAAACAGTAGATCTGTAGTGCTGTTGTAGATGGTTCTCTAAGGAGTATCACTGATTAAAAAAGCAAATTCTTCAATAAGTGAATCTCTCTCTCTCTCTCTCCCTCTCTCTCTCTATCATAGACTTGTTTTCAGTTTTTGTTTACTAAAGATTATATATGAAACTATTAACAGTGTTTATTTTTGTAAAGCTAACAGCTACACATAGGTTTTTTAAATAACAATTCACCCCACCTGTTCTGATGCCTTTTTCTTTGGTATCCTTTAACATTTATCTCTTAATATGTTACAACAAGGACAGGACTCAGTACTCTGGAGGAGAAAACTGAGTGGGTAGGAAGTGGGCCTGGGTGTAAATTACATAACAGTTGAGCAACTTTGTGGAAGTATCTTTACTTCTCTGGATCTCAGCATCCCCATCTTTTAAATGGAGTTACATCACTAGCAATCAAATTGGATGGTTTGTTTGCACAAAGCATTTGTAATCTACTGTGGGAAAAAATACAAAAACATACACATCCACATTCAGACAGAATAATGAGTAAAGAGCATATACTAACTCTCAACAAATTCTTTAAAGACAGAAGAAATAACATCCATTTTTGAGAAATTTTATGACCTGATTTGGGAGACAAATTTGCATGAACCAACTAGAGAATAATATACTGCCACATACAAATGACCCTGGATCACCCTCATTCTTACGTCATGCCCTCTAAAATATTACTCACCTGAAACTCAAGAAAACAAGACTTAACAATAAAAGTAAAACCCAAGTCTCTTGGCTATATTTGCACTGATCTGTAAAATAAAAGGTTAAACAATGATCACTAAGTTCCTTTGCAGAGATAAAGTTCTCTAATTCTACAATTTCTAAAAGTAGGTCCAAAAGGAAGAACTCTCCTGGCTGAAACCAGATTCCTTCCTACTCCTTGGAGTCTCCATTTCCATTTAAGGACTTTGACAACCTCATACAATCTCTATATGCAAAGCTCCCCAAAGATAACCCCAAAGAGAGATCCCTACATTATGTCAGCCCCATTGTCTGCACTGGAGAGCCTTTTTTGGCTCTGCCTTGTCTGGGCAGTGCTAGGGGAGAGAGGACCTAGCCCAGGGCAGCCAGGTGGCA